GCTTAAATTATGTTACCATAATGGGTATTCAGAATAAATAGAGCTTCCCCAATATAGCTATTTAGACTATGAAAATGAGTTCCTTAAGCGGAACCCAAAAGAGGGCCGGGGCATAAGGCAATCGGCTGCTGCAGGACCAGGGTGTTGGGCGTTCAGGTCACAAGCCCAGCCCAAACATGTGCGACAAACATTCTGCTTCTGATTATAGAGGTGCAAGGCTGGATAGCTTCAGCCCGAAGAACTTTTGCTACAAGAGTTTTCTTTGACAAGAGTTCGAATTCACGGTCGCTTTTGGCACACTTGCTCGCCCCCGCAATCTCGCCATCGGGCAGAGAATCGTCCCGCGAACAAGGGAACGTTTGCTGAAATGCAACCAAAGCGTGGATGCAATGCCCCTTCAACCTATACGTCTATACATTGCCCAAAGGGTCTGGGATCCAGGATGTCCCTGTGTTGAAAGTTTAAGTTCAAAAGATCCCCACATTTTGTTTTCCACACATCTGTGGCCCTACATCACAGTGGATGTAAAATTGTCTCCCGTATCCTCCCAGAATTAAGGGTTGATGCCCTCTTCTTTTTGCGACCCCAAATCTCAAATGATGCACACACCAAACCAGCACGCTCCTGACTCTTGTAGGTTTCAGCGACGGCCTCGACAGGCAGCCAAGTCCAACAAAGCACTGGTGGTGACGCGAGGGCTTCGCAAGGGCAACTCCAACAAGATGTAGTAAGCTTCTTCTTAAGGATCTTCTGCAGGGACCTACCGTTTCAAAAGCGCGCATGTGAATAATAATAGACATTGTTGTCTAGTTCCGAGCACATCTTTGAGAAACTCCTCAAATAGGTTGTTGTTGTAGAGATCCCTGCGTTCCTCAGGTCGAGAGTGGAAGGCAAGCTTTCGTTCCAAACGCCCCAACCCCATCTACATGCGATCTGAGTAACGTCGAATCGCCCTTTCTTGGCCTGAAAAACAATTTGGTCTACAAAACTGTTGTTTATCTATCAGAACCTAGCATCCACTACGATCCTGCCCCAAGCCAATCATACAAGATCCTGTGTGCAGACTGCATGTGAGCCTTTACAAGCAGACGTGAAGATAAAGGGGCAGGAGACGAACATGAACATAGGGTTTGGGGTTTAGGGTTTGAAACCTTACGCCTAAGAGTATATGCGTAGTTTCTGAATTGTGAAAAGATTGGGACAGCATTAATCAGCAACCTGATAAGTAGGATTTGTGAGCGCTCATTTGTGCAAAGCTTCTCACTAATCAGCTGCCCACATTGCCGGTTGAACCAAATGAACATGTATATCCCATCAAATGCAACAAGCCCAAACAAACAATCTTGTTTCAACTTGGGATCCGTACTGCCACAACCCCAAGGAATTATAATGCTTCAGGGCCCTAGGTTGTGTAAGATTTCCTTCCCACCAGCCGTAGTACCCTCACGGTAAAACAAGCCTCAAGCTCAACATCCGAAATATCCCAGCAAGGTACTTTTGAGACTCGACGCTAAAATGTTAAATGCCTATCGAGAATCCTCGGACAAATTTGGGTCGAGATCTCTAGAAGTACAAGCCTATACCCTAGACGCGAACCCCCAAATGGTAGTTTCCAGCTTCTTTTCCATTATCCCTATGTAACCCCTATATCCCCCTTTATCCCCCTAAACCCTAAACCCTGAATCCTAAACCCTCAACCCTAAATAAATCCAAGAAGACCAGGACCGCCTTCAGGTCCATGTTGCCAACAGCTTGACCAACCTTGTGGAAGGCTGTACCCAAGAACTCCTATGTAATGTAGGTTCTTTTAATTCTAGGGTTTGTTCTTTTTTGGGGTAGGGGGTTAACATTTAGTACTCAAAAGGAACTACATAGGAGGGTCTGGGTAGTTTTTGGGTTCATGGTGCTATCAGCTTGTCACGCTTTATGCCAAGGCAATTGCTTGCACACACGCACTCGTGAAACTCTTGAACATCAACTCCAGAGAAACCAGCAGAGCTCTTGGCGAACCTGCTTCGACAATGTACACAATCACCTGTCCTGACATCTAAAGTCCAAGATTTGGACCTAGACCCGTTTTGCTGGCCTTCACAACTCCCCCAGCCCTATACCCCAGCATGGCACAAAAGCATTGAGGAATCCACAAAACTTAAACTCAAAGCAAGCCACGCCAGCCAGCCGATTTGCACGCTTCACAGCCTTCTCGTCCATGAGCCTAATGACGAAGTGCTGGTGAATTCCGCAGTAAAAGGCTTAAGAGATGCAAGTAGCGTTTTCAAAGTGGTGAAGCCAAGTAAGATTCGCTCATATTCTGCTTGCGTCATACAATACTATATGGTCTTGGCCTAGCCTACACTAGGGACCATGAGTCCCAGATAGCATATTCAATACTATTCCTATGAGTTACGTGCCATCAGGCTCCCTGTGTCCTCTACATGGCATAGTACCAACCCACAAGGAGCTCGTGCCCATTTGAAGGTCCATTGGCTGCTGCTGGAAGTCATTCCGTGGTGATCAACTCTGGCCTGAACATGGTAATTTCCCAACATAGGGGGACCCCAATACAGACCCCAATATACTATAGTCCTTATTATGAGGACCCCCAATAGGGTACCCCTAATTCTGGGAAATCCCCACATTTTGCGACCTGTCACTCCACACCTAACCCATGCACCTCATGCAACAAACTCTGAACCTAACTTCGGAGAGATCTTAAGCTATGAGAATTGCACAAATCTACCCCAAATCTTGAAGAGGCCGAAGAAAGGTTCACCCAATCAGCCAGAAAATATGCAAGGAAGCTCCCGGACCTTGAATCATAAACCCCCAAACCCCAAACCCTACAACACTAACACCCCAAACACAGAAGCCCTAAACCCTAAAACCCTAAGGCTCAACACCCTAAATTTTTGAGGCCTGGGCCCATCTCGGGCCCTTGGTGCTGCAAGGTCCCTTGGGGGCGACGCGCTCCAGAGCTGGATCTCTGCCATCCCCCTGTGGGGGAGGCCTGGGAGCTTGGGCATTCGATATTTTTTAATAAAGATGTAGGCACTAGGCTCGCTAGGGCTTCATATTTAGAATTAAAAGCTCCAGGCATGAGACTTTAGAGTTTACGGTCTGGGGAAAACAGGGGTTGGGGATGCTTAGAGCCCAGTTTTGCTGGCCTTAGCATGGCGGAATTTCAAGCGATTGGGTTTTGAAAGGGCTTTGGGGTCACCACAATAAGGGTTGCAGTATCTGGGGGTCTAGATTGGGATCCGCCTATTTTGGGAAACTACCTCTGCGCTTGTGGAAGTTTGGAAGCCTAATGTACAGGGGCCTAGATCATCAGGATGAGGCAGGGGTATGTGATACCATACTGACATAAGCATAGAGAAGCAATGTGGGGCTGGCTCAAACAAGAACCCTATCGATTTCCGGGGTACAATAGGCTACTTACCCGGGAAATGAGCAATCTATAGCTGATGCTTTGCATTTCGTTTGGGTTTTGGGGCCTGCGCTTGCGGCGTTAGGATTTAGGGTGTCAAGGTTTTTAGGATCTCAAGGCTGCCAAGGCTTTGCTATTGACGATCTGGTGTTTGTGCTGTCTCCTCATGTTGAGGCCTCAACCCGCCAGCGTAGCAAGGCGCTGGAGTCTAGCGCCTGGCTACTCAGTCGGGTTGAATCTCAATATGACCCTGAGGTTTACATAGCCCGGGATGTTGGGTCTGGGGTCGGGGATGTAACAGGTTGGAGGCCTTCCGGGAGTAGGTGCGTAGGTCTGCTTTGGAAACTGCATCATGCTATGGCGAGTAGCCTCAGGAGGTACATGTGCTAGTGATATGAGGAACACGACTTCCCAAATCAAGCAGCTACCCAAAACTCCACATGCTGCCCACGGGAAGCAAAAGCAATTCGCCTCTAACCCTGAACCTTCAACGGTACCTTAGTCCTATTTGCCAATTCTGCCATGACACCTAGAATCTGAGCATTTAGCCATTGAGAGCATTGCTCGAATTAGCTTTCAGGGGGAAAGAGTTGCTAGAAAGACTGGCCAGGAATCACCTCCACTCAAAGCGGCCTTGCTCAACCCTACACCCCTACACTGGCCCTGAACCCTCAGCGAGTCCTTCAGTATGGCCCTGCACCCTTACCCGAAAGCCGCCTCCGCCTGGTCCAGCCCAGCCCCCCTCCAAAGCGATGCTGTGAGGGACTGTCGGCTGCGGAAAATCAGAGTGTATGGTCTAGGTGTCTACTTGAAAGGTGCGGGCCGAATCAAATGCATACTTTTGACAAGTACACCCATAACCGGGCTCATGCTGCACAGTTCCCCGGGCTTCGGAGAGGTAGGGTGGCGATGTTCGGCCCTCAGCCTCCCAAAGACTTTTAAACATCTAAAATATAGTAAATCCACAGACGCCCTCACAAAACGACTCCATGTGCATATGCGCATGCCCAGGGAAGCGCGTGACTTCTTTGCAAAAAAAAATGAAATTGCGCATTGAGCTCTCTGCTTCTGGGCTGAACAGCGTCCGCAGCTCCGAGGTTGACTTGGAATCAGGGCTCCCCCCCACGGCCCCACGTGGGGAGATCCTCAAAATGGGATACACCTGAGAAAGCCTAAGGGTTTAATGGGATTTCCGCGAAAAATAGGTATTCTCGTGGGAATCCTACAAGCATGCTTTCGAAGAAGCTTCCGTATCCCTGAATGCAAGTGTAGGTCAGGTAGTGGTTGCATCACCGAAAGGCCAGCCATCACTGTGCTGAATCACTTAAAACTCTGAGCCATGGTAACAGCTTCTGAAAGAGATGAAAACTTTCCTTCTTGTTTTTGGTGGGGTGCCAAACTCGGAAATGCTATATCCCTGTTGGGCACGAGGATCTCTAGCTGCAGCTTTTCAGGACGAGGCATAGAGTTAGTTTCAGGGCACTCCCCGCTCGAACTATCAAGACAATATGGGAGTGGACGTTGCATTTTCGATCATGCACAGGCATCAGCAAATCGGGTCCCAGGCGCAAGCTTATGGAAGCATGTGCTCCACTGCTTGGTTCAGGTCCCCGTGTGCGCGCTGCGCTGCTGCGAGGCTCGGTTCATCGTCGAAGCCCATGAAGCGCAGTGTTGCTGCAAGCTGTTCCAGCCGCACCTGCTCCTCCTCTTCCTGTACTTGTGTTGGACCACGTTGAAAGAACTCTGTTGACAGCTATCCATGCAACGAAACTAACTGATAAAGGAAAAATAAATTCTAAGGAAGTATGAGCTTGAGGTTCCTGGTCCAGTGGATCAGGTCGTCGTGCCTGCACGGGCTGCTCAAGCGCCAGTCGAGACGGGACCGGGGCAGAGCTGGCGGGGCCCGCGAACTGTTCCGGTGCCTGTGGGGCGCATTGACCTTGCTCCTCTCGCTCGCGTACACCTGGAGGACCTGGCGAAGAGGCCTCCGCGGCGGGCGGGACAGAAGGAGCCTTGGCATCAACCTTGTGGCCATTGTAGCCTTTGGCATAGACGGCAGGTTGCGGCTTCGTCTCCAGCTTGAGTGCTGGACCAATGATTTCATCGCTGGGATGGCGGTACAGACATCCGTCCGTCCGGCAGCCACGACCCCACTGGCAGTCTATCTTGCTATAGCGCTCCTTGATCGTCTGGCACGAAGCTTCATCAGGATGCTTGTCGTGGCACTGCCTGCCGAATGCGCACTTGCCGGCCACAAAAGCGAAGCAAATCTTGTCCGACTTCTCGATAGGCCGAGCGGCGGACTTGGCTGGTTTTGGAGGATGCTTGTAAACGCAATCTCTCCGTGTACAGGCGGCGCCATAGCGGCAATCGGGAATCTGGACCTTGGCTTTCCCTCGGCCCATCCTCCCCCCACCCGGGCTACTGCACTCTACCTTACTACCTGCCACCTGTTTCGTGGCTACATGACGCTTGGTCCACACCATGCAGCAAAGCAGGTGCACTTATACCTCGCTGTGGCGGCAGCACTGCATTTCAACAACTCCCCCCTGGCTGCATCTTCTTGTTTTTTCTCCACGCGTTGGTTCCTGTTCGGACACGGCGAGATAGGCTGTTGTTCAGGTGAACAACTTGATTGGGCCCTGGCTTCGGTTACCATCAGCAACTCAAGTTGCGACGCAGCAATGACTCTACCTACGTACACAAGCTGACCAGTTGATAAACCGGAGGGCCCATGGAAATGAAACATTCTACGAGTTGTTTGTTGAGCAAAGGGCCGGTTTTGAAGCAGGGAAGGATGTGCAATGCCATGAGCACCTTTAGCTCACTTGCCGACATGTCACGTCAACTCTCTCTCTCTTCCTTACGAACTCCCTAAAGATGCGGAACACCGACCGACAAGCATACCTAAGTACATGCGTACAAACACACATACGTAAGTCCATGCATGCAAACGCGCGTTCGCTCATTCACTCATTCACTCACTCACTCACTCACTCACCCACCCCTCAGACATGCATTTAGATACACCCTCATCCTAGCCTAGGTCTCCACCAAATCCGTTTACGTATATTCGCGCGTGCATTCCGTACAGACTTCCTTCACATCTGAACATGGCTTAGGAGCGGCTATAGACTGACGCAATCGGAATACCTCACAAACCTTCTGCATAACTAAACACAGTGACCATGTAGGTAGAGAAATGGCCACCATAATTTGAATATAGACTTGGGTTTCAACACGGCTCTTCACCACCACCGCGAAGACTCAGAAGATGCTGGCCTGACAGATGACTGCTGGTTGAGCACGGCTTCAAAGCAGAAGGACGGGGCAAGCATGCACCAAAGAAGAGAACTCTCAACCTCATCACTACACTAGATTGGTAAGTACCTATCATGCTCATGGCTTCGGGGTAGAGAGCTTAGGCGAGGTTGGGGGTCCGAGGCTCCAGGTTCTAGGACGTCATTGCTTGCAGTCAGGCCCTGAAAACGGCTGCCATCAAGGTAGAGACATTGACGGCCCTGCGCCCCCACAATCAGAAACAACAATAGAAACCCCGCAAAATGGCCCATGCGTTCCTCTACAATCCTCGAGAGTCTAGACTATGGAAGCAGGCTTAGCTGGGTGCCCTTCTTATCTTTGAAGGAATCTTGTAGGTTTAGGGTTTGGGGCGTAGGGTCCACTCACTGAGGGACATGATATAGCACATAGTTGCTTTGCCCTCATCATAAAATGCTTCACCTGCCTCCCCGCCTTCTGGAAAATGAAATGCGCAGCCATGCCTAAAATCCAGCATCTGCAGGGGATACGTGTATTTGAACAAGGCAGGCACGTGGGAATGCTTTGAACAATTGACGGCATCCAAATAGCCAGCTCCAATCAGCAAATGAGCTACTTACCTCATAAAAATTAGAACGGTTTTGAATTTGCTGACCGATGTTCGCCTAATTATCACGTCGGAATACGGGTTCAATTAAATGTCTTGTCAAAAAAGATGCTTTGAAATACCGGCAAAGTTTGATTCCGCCATCTTGTTTTATGTAAGCTTCTCGAACAAACCCAGGAAATCGACGAAGAGCCCTAATCCCATAATCTAGATGATTCCTTGTAGTGACCCTAATACTTCAGGACACTCCCCAATTATCGTTGATATCCCCTTCGCTGGCCTCTTTTACAAGTAGTCTCCCCATCTTAGATTTAGATAGTTTTACGAGCTTTAAGCTCCTGCAAGCATTTCGTAAGGGGGCATGCGCTGAGAACGGGAAGCGGATGCTATTTCCCCAAACTCTATGGCAAGTCGCGCGCGCCCAAAGCCTCTATCTAACCTCCATGAAGTAGCTGAAAGATTGTATACGTAGGCTATATAACCTGAACACGTCCGAATAATTAAGTGAGCAGTCCGAAAGCGGCTTTGCTACGCACAAGGACTCGACTGCAGGCCAAATACGTAGATCTAGCCTCCAAGCCTCCAAGCGCCAAGTCCTGATCCTTGAAACCCAAGCCCCAATCTGTCCAGTTTTGTCCTCACATTTGCGGGACAAAGCATCACCGACCTCTGAGAAATTGAGCGGTGAGACGGCTCGTGACAGGTGCACGGCTATTGAGGCCTATCAGAAAAGGCTAGCGGCTAGGCATATGTAAAATGTATGGTGCGCAGAAGGGGAACTTAGGATAACCGCTTACCGTATACCTACACCCTCCTGGTACCTCGAAGCCCGAGCCATATTAGTCTCTAAGATTTGTTCAAGCACGGACTGTGTTCTGAGGCTGTCACATGTGCAAGCATGCATAGCTGCAAGTAAGCCAGCTGAAGCAGGTAAGAACTCCAGCTACGGGGTCAAATCTTGTTCTTACCTTGAGCGCCAGGTTTGGAATGTCAATCTTAGGGTGGGCTCCCGCCAGCTACCTCTACAGACACCACCCGAATGTATACGCACAAAAATTGTAATCTCCTTCCCTAATGTTAATATCTACCTGAATATTCCGACATACTATAATGCACCACGGTGATTACCACAATACTGCAAATCCCGGTCACCATCCTAGTGTCTCTTGAGGAGCCGAGCACCCCGCCAGACCTAAACAGGGCCCAGGGATTAAAATCTATCATATAAGGAATCGCTGGAGGGTTTAGCGTATCAAGCGCTCCTGTGAGATCCTTACCCCGGGATTCCAAAAACACTCAGAGTATGGACCGAATGTAGTCGACATACGCCGTACCATAACCTGACCTAGCCCTACTGACTACTGCACATGACCAGCAATGCCCAAGCTCAAACACCTCACCCATAAACCCTAAACGCTAAAACCCAAAACCACTAAACCTAGGCTTTTGATATTCAGCGGTGGGGCTTGCTCTATGCGAAGGAGGAGCTCCTCCGGACGGCTGAAAGGATCTGAGGCCCTACATCCAACATACACCAAACCCCGGATGCAGTAAGCTTTAAACACGCTGAAAACCCTATAGCCCCCCTTCAGTAGATAGAATATGGCTTAGGGTATAGTATACTAAGATCCTCATATACCCCAGTAGTTGTTGTTGTTTCTTTCGTGGCTTCTCGGCGGGGCGTCCTTATGATCTTAGATTGCAAGTGTGGGTTTCAAATATGGGCCTCACCGTTTGTCGGGGATGCTGGAGCCTAGAACCTCTTAAGGGTACATAAGGAGTATATACGTACAGAAGGAGCTCATGATTCGGGGACCATATTCCCCACACACTAAGAAATTTACCCTAAACCCTAAAACCCCAAACCCTGAATTCCCACAGCCCAAAAAGGAGCCAGTTGCTATACTCGTAAAACGAAGTCACTCCCATGCCTCAGTTTCGGGTTTACGGTATAGGGTATAGGGTTCAGGTTTTGGGTATAAGGTTTGGAGGTTTAGGGTTGAGGGTTGAAGGTTTGGTGTTTTAGGGTTTAGGGTTGTAGGTTTCGGGGGGGTTATGTAGTGGCTGGGCTGCCGGGCTTGAAGTTAAGCATCGGGATTCAGGGTTGAGGGTTCATATCAACTACACTATATTAATAGGCCGTTATAGACAGCATCCTATAACAGCAATTATGCTAGTTATGGGGTCAGTATGTTGGGGGTTGGGGTTACCGAAATCCTCTTCTTAGTAGCGTGTAGGGGTGTACGGTTGAAGGTTTGGGGTGTTAATAAGGGCACAGAAGTTGTTGGAGGCATGGTCTAGTGTTCAGGGCCTTACGGTTCAAGGGTTCAGGAGTTAGGGTGTTTTGAAACCTAAGGCTACACCCTAAACCCTAGCGGTTTAGGCTTTAGGCTTCAGGGTTTAGGGTGTAAAGAGCTTGCCGTATTGTAAGTGTGCTTCTACGCAGGTATATTTCCTTAGTCTCAATGTGTCCTCATCATAGAAAGTATCAAGGTGTCCTCATCATATAAAGGGCTTGTTCTAAACTTGCTTCTCGAGAAAAAACCGCCAACTTTCGCGGAGAAGTGCTGTCCTTTTAGCCTTTCTTTCTCAACACTTTTGTGGAGCCGGTTTCTCAAATGGTCACCCCCAAGTACAACCGAAGGACAAGGACCTTTGGAACAACCCTCATACCAGGCAATATGGGACTCAAAACCCCAAAATCCTGAGCCCTCAACCCCGCACACACAATACCTCTGACCTCGAGACATCTCGGTATAGGAGTTCCATAGATACGGGGGATTATGAAGATAAACTCCCATCTTCATGTAACAGTAGTTCCGTACTCCAAAATGAGGCTCAACAACAACCCAGGTACGTCTCGAGGGCCACACTCGAAAGCCGCATGCGGAATGATGATCCTACCTTGCATTGCCACATGGGGGTTTCTAAAACCAAGGAATTTGTAGTGGATTTTTTGGGGATTCTGGGTGGGTTCCTTACTAGGGGTTCTATATGGATTTTGGGTAGTACCCACATGGTCCTGATGTTTGCACCTATTGTTGGCCCACGCATGACGCGGCTTCCCAAGAATCCTCACCCATACCATTGCCTAAGGGGGTCTGAAGTTTGCATTAAGAAAAGCTGTTCAAGAACAGCGCGACAATTTCACGCCTTTGGATAGCAGTCGAGATGTTTGATGGGTTTAAGTTTTAGGGTTTGGGATGTAAATCCCAAGATTCTAGCTTCAAGGGCAACATGGAGGGACCCCTCCTGGAAGGGACCCCTAGTCCCGTTACTGAATATTCCTTGTACAGTGCTTGTATACACCCCATATAGCCAGGTAGTCCCCTTACTACCCCGTGAACCCTTCAAAAGTCACCATTAAGGGTCCCTCTCAAACTCTTGGATGACTACTTGCAGCATTTCCTCTTGTCCCGGCTCCAGCGACAGAAGGGGCCGTCCCGTAGGATGTCCCTGCTTGGGAAAGGGGGGAGGGTTCAGTCAGGATTCTGGTTTGCTCCTTGGGTCCCTATTATC